CCCCCCTACTTCCTGGATTTCCATCACAAAAGCTATGTGGAAAGTATGTTAAAAATATTAACATCAGAATACTGCTGCAAATGAGGCTCTAAAAAGAAGTCTTGGTACAAAGTGTTTTCTGAAGGTTCAGAAGGAGAAATTCTCTGTAAGGAGACCACCTCTGCTGACAACACATCAATGCTGCATCTACATCAACGGAGATGATTAAAATCCAAAAGATCTAAAATTCCAAAAGGTTTCACAGTGATTGAGTCTTCTCTTTTTACAAAGTGGGCCTCCTAAACCTCCCCAGCAGGCTTCTTAAGAAGTCTTTCTTAAAATAGAAAAGTCCTATTCTGCTTTAATTCCTTTTGTTCCATTTTTTTTCTGCTAACCTTTTCTGAGGCTGAATTGAGGTACAGTCATAGTCTTCTTCCTAGGGTTACAAAGCACTGATGCAAAAAAGCAACTTCTACATCTCTGATTCAAGGTTACTATAATCCAATTTCTTTATGAAAGCAAAAAACCTCAAAAAGCAAATATCTAATGGTATTAAGACATTTCTGCCATTTTTATTTCTTTTGTAGACAAACAGTAACATCCATCTTCCGATAGGAAAACAACAACTAAAAACATTTCATAAAAATGACCTATTCAGAAAGCCATAGTGAAAAATCAAATAAAAGGCTACAAAACGTTCCTCTCAGTGTCCAGATTTCCTCAGGGCGGTGGAGGAGACAACAGAAATTAATACCATATCAAAATAAGATGTTATGGAATAATTGTGCAGATCACATTTAAAAAAGACTGTGTGTGCTTTATCTCAAAGGCCTTATCTACACTGCAGCCACTGCAGAATATAAAAATGTCTAAGAAACACTTGTGTAGTCCAGCCTCCAACACCACTCCAGACCATCCAGAAGCAAACAGTATTACACAGCAGGGCTTTCAACACCTAATGGAGACAGTTTGTGCCTCCCTGCTTTCAAACAACTCATTCTGCAAAAACCCAATTGTTGTTCAATAAAGCTTTTCAATATTTAACTGTTCAAAAACCCTCTTGCAGCCACATTTGAAGGCGTATCACTACAAATGTAATTTTGAAGGCTTCTCTGAAACAGACCTCAACTGGATGACGAGCGTAATAAAAGCATGACTGGGGCTAAGAATCTGATTACAGACGTCACTGGTCTCCTAGTAAGCTGAAAAACAACTCTGAGCTGTATGAGTGGTTGGCATATAGGAGTACATATCCAAGGCAAAACACCTGTCACACCCTGCAAACCAGCTGCAGATTTCAACTGTACTGCAAACTGGAAGTGATCTATAAAATCTGGTCTTGTTCAGAACTGTGAGAAAAAGAAGCCATACTTCATCTCTCACAAAAGTCTATTTAAACAGCCAACAGAAAGGTTCAAATTAATACTTTCTTGAACAGTGGATTTTGTGATCACAGAATCATAGAATGGTTTGGGTGGAAGGGACCTCAAAGATCACCAAGTTCCAACTCCCCTACCGTGGGCAGGGACACCCTCCACTAGACCAGGTTGCCCAAAGCCCCATCCAACCTGGCCTTGAACACTTCCGGGGAGGGGGCAGCCACAGCTTCTCTGGGCAACCTGTTCCAGTGCCTCACAGTAAAAAATTTCTTCCTAATATCTAATCTAAATCCACCCTCCTTCAGCTTAAGGCCACTGCCCCTTGTCCTATCACTCCCTGCCCTTGTAAACAGTCCCTCTCCATCTTTCTTGTAGCCCCCTTCAGGTACTGGAAGCCTGCTGTAAGGTCTCCCCAGAGCCTTCTCTTCTCCAGGCTAAACAACCCCAACGCTCTCAGCCTGTCTCCACAGGAGAGGTGCTGCAGCCTTCTCATCATCTTTGTGGCCCTCCTCTGGACTCGCTCCAACAGCTCCATGTCCTTCTTATGCTGGAGACTCCAGAGGTGCACGCAGTACTCCAGGTGGGGTCTCACAAGAGCAGAGTAGAGGGGCAGGATCACCTCCCTCAACCTGCTGGTCACGTTTCTTTTGATGCAACCCAGGACTCCCAAGTCCTTCTCCGCAGGGCTGCTATCAATCCATTCTCTGCCCAGCCTGTAGTTGTGTTTGGGATTGCCTTGACCCATGTGCAGGACCTTGCACTTGGCCTTATTGAAGTTGATGTGGTTCACAAGGGCCCACCTCTCAAGCCTGTCAAAGTCCCTCTCGATGGCATAAATTTAAATGTATATAACTTTAGGCTGTCAAAAGCAAGACACAGCAAAGATAAAAAAGTTTCAGGGAATATTCTACAGAGCAGGAAACACGTATGCTCTTGCATATTCAAATGTCGGCATCATCACGCAAGTATGGTTTCTCAGACACCTTTTGTACACGCAGGCTCCTTCCTACCTCCTCAATGGTCTCTGAATTCCCCCTTGAGCTCAGTAAGCACTGGAAGTTTTGCAAATGCTAAACGGAGGAGCTCTTGTTAAACAGTGACAGCAATTCTCCACTCCCAACATGGGAATTCAGATCTCTTAACCAAATCAGGACCATACACAGGTATTTAAAACTTCAGTTTTTCTTCAGACTTTGTGACAAAATACCACTGTACCTGACAGCAAAGCCCCACTAAAACCACCCTCTTCTACACAGCAGTGGCAAATCCACATGGAAGCCCTGGTGTATAAGAACTCTTAGTACATAAACTAACTCTCTTACACAGGCTGTGTTTGCAATATTATTTTCTGTTCTTACTGACTTCTTCATCCTTTCTAACCATAATTTTCCATTTTTATATACACCCATAACTTGTCTTTATTTAAGTTCATTTAACTTCAGGAAGAAACCAGAACTCATTTGGTAAAATCAGAAACCCGCAATTCAGTCATCCTTACTTTCATTTCTGACCATCTTTCATACAAAGTTAGCTTAAAAAAAAAAAAACAGGCAAATTCTCAAAGAGTCTCTAAATACCCTTCTTCTCAATGTTAAAGCTCTGTTTATGGGACAGGGAAGAACAGATGACCAGAAGGCTTGGTAATGAATTGGAATAAAAGGAGTCTTTTATTCCAGCACTGAATGTGACCCATGGCAGTC